TTAAAATAAGATACTTAGATAATATGCACTTGAAATAAGAGAATGCAACTGTGTTTTCTTATTTTAATTGTCTTGTTCCATTGGCAAAATGTATCTTTTACCTACTCAATTCAAGAACAAATGCAGTTATTTTAAGAAAAAAATGACTTATCTAGATTTGGATTTTTTTGCAGTGTGGAACCCATGATCTCCATGATGAAACGCAGGAGCGTTACAAATGACACCATCCAAGCTGCAATCGAAACTGCTAAATGTTTCCATAATAAGACAAAATTATTATGAGAGTTTGTATGAGGTTAGATTTAAGGAACATGGCTGTCATTAAAGTTCTGCTGCTCTGACTGCCTAACCAGAGCCAGTAGGCTTAGATATGAAATATCCATAAATGTGTCTAAATAATAAAGAATAAAAAAAAAAGAAAAGTAATATGAATAATAATAGTAACTACACTGGAAAAATCTAAATCTAGATTAATCATTTTTTCTTAAAATAATTAGAATTTTGAATTTGTTCTTGAATTGAGAAGGTAAAAAAAACAGTTTTCCCAATGGAACAAGACAATTTACATTTAATATAAGAAAATGATTGATTGTCTTATTTCAAGTGTATTTTATCTAAATATCTTATTTTAAGAGTAAAAATACTCATTCCATTGGCAAATCATCTTATTTACCTGCTCAAATTAAGGGTAAATACACTTCATTTAAGACATTTACTTACTTGTAGATAGTTTTTCCAGTTTAATAATCTTATTAAGAACCGTATCAATTGAATAACACTTTCTTTGAAATAAAATAAATTTTACAGACTTTATGCTTTTTTCGTGGGGGCGGGTCAACGTATGAAAGAGTGATAGTCACGAAAAAAAACTTAATTCAATATTTCCCTTTTTCTCTTTCAGCATCAATTTTAAATGGTCAATAATGATGAATAAAGGTATCATGTATTTTATCTTGGCAGCAATTTTAAACAAAGCATTTTTTAGGTTTAAATAAGTGCAATAAATGCTTAAACTCTTGTTTTGTTTTTGGAAAATCCAAAAAACTTACAACAGTTAGTTATTTTTTTGTTTATTCTAATGAAACTGCAGTGATAAGATTAGGGTCAAAGACAGAGAGAGAGGGGGGGGGGGAGAAGCAGCCCGAAGCCGGCAGGCCTTTATTAAACTCCCCGGCCGCTTTTCTTTCAGGGTGGTTAAACTAACTTCACTGTTTGCACATATTTAACAGGACTGCCTCAGAAACCTGCATGAAAATCCAACTGCAGGACCGAACAGCGTAGGTAGATTCAGGAGGAGGGGGCAGAGGGGCCTCTGGAAATATGGAACCACTTAGGGCCCAGAGAGCACACACCCTGCAAAGGGTTAAAGATGGCGATGGGATAAGTGGAGCTCGTTTATCGCAAATTTGACAGTGGTAGGTTTTTGTAGAGTTTTCCCTCCAAACGGGCAGTTTGTGGAAGCAGAGGAGTCTTTTTGCTCTCCTGCAGCTGTTCCTCTTGTTTATGACCGACCGTCTCCTCCTATCAGCCTAAAACATCTTTTTGAAACAGAACTGAGGAGAAGAGGAAATCTGCCTTGTGTTTCAGCACTTTCATTGCTGCTTCAGGCCTTCCACTTCACCCCATCCATCCGTCCTGTTCTTCCAGCTTTCTACAGACCTTTCATCCTCCCCTGCCTCGTCTTTCTTCGTGGAGCTGATTTTCCCAACCTGCCAGCCCTGGAGACCCTGCAGATGCCTGGAGCCTGGCGCTGAAGCCGGCGCTCGCCAGCAGCCCAGATGCATTTGCAACTCTTTGCCATTGTGATGTCCTTGTTTTGTGAGGTGATCAGGATGGGGTCCGGCGTCACGCAGAAGCAGAGCGGTGAGTTAAAGTCAGGGAGCAGCACTGATGGCACAGGGATTTCTACACACAACCTCACTGCCTGGGATACATACAGAAGAGGATTNAAGCAGCCCGAAGCCGGCAGGCCTTTATTAAACTCCCCGGCCGCTTTTCTTTCAGGGTGGTTAAACTAACTTCACTGTTTGCACATATTTAACAGGACTGCCTCAGAAACCTGCATGAAAATCCAACTGCAGGACCGAACAGCGTAGGTAGATTCAGGAGGAGGGGGCAGAGGGGCCTCTGGAAATATGGAACCACTTAGGGCCCAGAGAGCACACACCCTGCAAAGGGTTAAAGATGGCGATGGGATAAGTGGAGCTCGTTTATCGCAAATTTGACAGTGGTAGGTTTTTGTAGAGTTTTCCCTCCAAACGGGCAGTTTGTGGAAGCAGAGGAGTCTTTTTGCTCTCCTGCAGCTGTTCCTCTTGTTTATGACCGACCGTCTCCTCCTATCAGCCTAAAACATCTTTTTGAAACAGAACTGAGGAGAAGAGGAAATCTGCCTTGTGTTTCAGCACTTTCATTGCTGCTTCAGGCCTTCCACTTCACCCCATCCATCCGTCCTGTTCTTCCAGCTTTCTACAGACCTTTCATCCTCCCCTGCCTCGTCTTTCTTCGTGGAGCTGATTTTCCCAACCTGCCAGCCCTGGAGACCCTGCAGATGCCTGGAGCCTGGCGCTGAAGCCGGCGCTCGCCAGCAGCCCAGATGCATTTGCAACTCTTTGCCATTGTGATGTCCTTGTTTTGTGAGGTGATCAGGATGGGGTCCGGCGTCACGCAGAAGCAGAGCGGTGAGTTAAAGTCAGGGAGCTGCACTGATGGCGCAGGGATTTCTACACACAACCTCACTGCCTGGGATACATACAGAAGAGGATTGGGGCCACTGAAAAAATAAACAAAGGTTAACCTATTTTTGAAATTTATTTCAGTTTAATATGGGGGGGGGGAAAGTCACAATTCTTACTTTTTTTTCTCAGAATTCAGACTTTAATCTCATAATTCTGACTTTATTTCTCAGAATTCTGACAAAGATGTGAGTTGTTTCGGAGGGCCAGTAACACATTGGTGGAAAATGATGGAAGGCAACTTTTTATGTGCCAGAGGGGTCCCTGGTGATGCTGTTTCATTATAAGAGCAGAAGGTGATTAAAACAAGAGTCAGTTTAGTCTCTAGACATGGCTACGGCTTCATACTAACAGAATTCAGTCAGAATTTGGAGAAAAACGTCAGAATTCTGACTTTTTTCTCATATTAAACTGAAATGATATTTAAAAATCAGTTAACTTTTTTTTTAATTATTCTTTCAGTGGCCCTAATCCTCTTCCATAGACACAGGCAAAGAGGATGTGTGAATAAATGAATGGCATAAGGGGGGAAATTGTTGTATTCAATATTTAAAAAGGAGAAGGGAGAAAGCATGCAGCTGATGGGTCGTATTTCTATTCTTCTTTTGGATGAAGTTTAATGTCTGTTTTCTGTACTGCATATTGATTCAATCTGAGTCCACCTCTGAAGATCTGAATTTATGCTTCATTTTCTCACCTGCCGGACCTGTCTGTCATCGTTCAGCTGGGTGTCGGCAACCCTCTCCAACTCAGCTCTGAGCTTTTTAGATTTTAAGCTAATGAGTCTTTTTTTTTTTATGGAGCACAGCCAGACAGGTGGTGACCTGTCTGTTAATAATAGAGGAGCATCTGCGTTTTTAGCCTATTTTGGGGGGCGCTGAAGCAACCGTAATTTGAATCAAAGCACCCCTAAAATATGAGTTGTTGTTTTTTTTTTTTATTGTGTGTGTTTTTTTTACTTTTTAAACACACACAGCGCAAAAAAATTTTGACACTGTAAAAACTATATAGTATTTGGTTATTTAACTTGTTGAATTATGTTCTGGTTCAGCAGAAATTATAAGAAACAAACAAGAAGAAACAAGTACAGAAGCCTGATGGAGGTCCTCAACTAAAATGTTGAGCAACGCTTATAGAGAAACGCTGCATTCAGGTGTTTTCTGAAATGTTCAGTCAGATTTATGCACCTATTGTTGGCGTGTTGGTGAATTCTTACCAAGCGAGGTGCTCTAATGTGTCTGAGACTGGTTTGTTTGATTATCTTTAAAACCACAACTCAATATCAACATTAAAATTTACTAAATCATTCGTAAATCGTTGTCATTTTTTTCCAGTTTATAGTTATTTTAATTTATTATCCACTTTGATTGCTAGTCTAAAGAGGGAGAGGTGCAGAAGGGGGAGCAGAGGAGCAAGGTGTGTGCAAAGTGAAAGGTCAGCAAAAAAAACAAACAAACAAACAGACAGAATAGCAGCAGTTGTTAAACTGGCAAAGAAAAACATTTCATTTAACAGATTATTTTACGTACGTCATGGAAGTAATTTTTGGCACACAAATGAAATGATTTGATTTAAAAGCTTTAATTTAGAATATTCTTCTAATAAAAATGCTGCTTTTTGCTTCGCTTGTCGGGTTTTTGGCGTACGTCTCAGAAACCAGGGTTTCCACGGGTCATTAAAAATCTTAAAAAGTCATAAAATATTATTTTTTAAATTAAGGCCTTAATTGGCATTAAAACTCAATAAATGTGATTATTGTGGCATTTAAAATGTAAAAAGTTTATAAAAACAATTTTGCCATATATATATATTATATCTCAATATGTTTGTCCGGTTGATCCTAAAGCTGTATGTTTGGAAAAGAAGCTTGAGGCGGAGAAAAAGCTAGAGAGTAGGGAAAATGCAACTTTCCCTAAAAGTAGCTAGAAAACGAGGAATTCGCCAAATGGCTGCAGCCTGTCGACAGTAAAGATAAAAAGATTTTGCCTTGTTATATATATGAGTGTGGGAAAAAATCGTTTTGGTGATATATCACAATCTTCAGCTGTCAGATATAATGTCGATCTTTCTGTTCCTAGTATCGATTTTCTAAAAAACAAAACATATTACCTAAAATTTTTATTTAAAAAAAAAAAGGAAAATGGGCTACCTCTGCACCGCCGCTTTGGCAGATGCTGTGCGGCGCATCCCAATATCGATGACGCAGTCTCGAAGACGAGAACTGACTCAGACCCCAAACAACATGGATACCAAATTAACTAAATGATCAATATCTTCAGATGAACATATCCAGCTTTTTTTTATCATTACATTTAATTTTGATAGATTGAAAAAATATTGATATATAGCGACATTGCAATATCATTATATCATATTGTGATCCAAGTATCGCAATACATACCATATCGCAACACCCATGCTAAAACTCACACCTATATATATATATATATATATATATATATATATATA